AGACTTAGTCCATGAAAAACTGTTCAAATAAAAAAACTCTCACCAATTTATATTATAATCTGAGAGCTACCAGTCACATTGCTCTCATGAAGACTGCTTCTCTGAAAAGCCAACAAGAGTCAGACGAGAAAGGCTGAATGTAGAAATAAGCCATCTAAGATGCTTCAGCTGACTTTGCTCAAGTGTTTGCAAATGGTCCTCTATTTATGTAAATTCAGTCTTCAAACAACTTGTGCTACTGCTTATTATCTGTTCCTAAGCAGTCTTTCATATGTCTAACACCAGCTGATAAATGATGGTTTCAGGCACTGCATGCTGAGGTTCCATTTTTCCCTCATTTCCTCATTCCTATTTGTGAATTTAGTGTTACTGCAATATTACAAACTGTGAAAAATCAGTAGAGACTCATAAAGGACTAAATTAATGATAAGAAATGGAACTCTCTGCCGACTACAGCAGCTCACGCCTTTAATCCCAGCACTTGGGAGGTGGAGGCAGGTGGATCTCTGTGAGTTCAAGGCCAACCTGGTCTACATAGTGAGTTCTAGGCCAGCTGGGGCTACAGGGAGACCCTGTCTCAAAAGGGGAAAAAAAAAATTATACAATTAACATGCAAGTCTCAATGCTGAAAAAAAGCCCTATTTATACACCAGTATATACTTAAGAATACAAAAAGTCATTGTTGCATAGAACTGTCCTCCGACTGGCAAGCTATGGACGCCTTCTTCCCAAGCTTGGCTGAACCTGCTTGCCTAGGATCATCACAAACTTGTTGACTGTTGACCTTCCACAAGAAAGTAGGGGCAGGGAGAGTCAACCATGCATTCCAACCAACGAGTCGGCCTAGTTGCATGAGGGTGAGGGACTAAGAATACCTAAGCTGAGGAAGTTTACAAGGAGGGGCTCTCGCCATTTGTACAGCTGCTAGGAAGTCACAATCCATGCCTAGATGAAGACTTTCCAGTACAGCTTTGGGGGGAGGGGGAGCACCCACACGCCTGTAAGTAAACCCTCACCCACTGCTCTGTAAGTAAGTCCAATAAATTGTCTGGTTTCCCAGACTTCAGTTTGGAGAAACTGAACCTTGGTTTATCAAAGGGACCAAGAAAGGAGGCTGAACATTGTTTGTGCCTCCCAGAAGGAATTTTACCTACAGCCATATTATTTAGCAGTGAATTAAACATACTTGTCTCTTAAAACTAAAAAATAGCGCATAAAACATAAGTTCTGGAAATCATTTTTGAATAACTCTATGAAAGATAATAAATGGCACGGGAGATAATTACAATAATAACTACACAATTTCAAAACTGCTCTCCTAGAATAACAGACTTCAAAATTATATAGAATTTTCCATTTACCAATTTAATTTAATTGCCTCAAAATCCTGGATTAAGTTTCTGATGGTTAATACTGTCTACTTGATAGGATTGAGAATCACCTAGGCAACAAGCCTCTAGTCCCGTTTGTGAGGTAGTTTCTAGACTGGGTTAATTAAGGAGAGGAAGATCTATTCTAAATGTGAGTGGCACCATTCCATGGGTTAGTCCTTAACTGAATAAAAAGGATACAGTAAGCTAAGTACCAGGATAGATCTGTCTCTGCTTCCTGATCGCAGATGCAATAGCCTACCTCATGTTCCTGACAATTTGCAATGGGCTATACTCTCAACTGTGAGCCATAATAACCCTTCCTTCCTTAAATTGCTTTTGTTGGGAATTTGGTCACAGCAGCAAGATAAGTAATTAATTTTAAAAAATTGATACTGGAAGTGGGGGCCTTTGCTGATAAACTTGGCCATGTGGGTCTTAGGCTTTTGGAACAAGCTTATAGAAGGAATGTGGTAGAATTTGGAACTTTGGGTAAATAAGCCCTAGTATTCTGTGAGCAGAGTTTAATGGGTTTAATGGGAGATTCTGTTGGGAGTTTGGGAGACCAGAATGCCAAAACAAATGCCAACAACAGAGCCCAGCTCTGTTCCAGAAGGGAACAATGACTACATTAGGAAGTAGGCTACAGGCCACTCAGAGTTATAGAATCTGGCTTCATTCTATCTGTGTCCTGAGAACCTGACTAAGGCTGAATTTTAAAGTTTTAGAGGGCTGGGGAGATGGCTCAGCAGGTAAAGGCACCTACTGCCAAGTCTAATGACTTGAGTTCAAGCCCTGGGACCCATATGGTAAAAGGAGAAAACCCATTCCAGCAATCTGTCCTTTTGACCTCCATATGCACACAATGGCATGCACACAAAAATACACATACACAAATAAATGAATTTAATTTTTTAAAAGAAATTTTAAAAGGAGCTGGAGAGATGGCTCAGCAGTTAAGAGTACTGGCTGCTCTTGCAGAAGACACAGGTTCAGTCCCCAGCACCCACACAGTGGCTAACAAACATCCATAACTCCAGTTCCAGGGGAACCTATGCCCTCTTCCAGCCTCTGTGGACACTGCACTCATGTGCTACACTTAGATACGTGCAGGCATAATATTTATATACATAAAATAATAAAACACTTAAAATTTTTTTTTAAAGTAACAAGGTAGTTTGTTTAGCAGAAGAAATTTCAGAAGTGGCCACTGCTTACTACTCTTATCAGATCTACAGCAGCAGAGAGCACAAAGATGAAAAAAATGTAAAGTTTGGCAAAGAAAGGAGTTTGAGCACATTTAATATTGAGAACCAAAGGAGGGTACAATGAAACTGTTGAAGAGATTAGTGCCATTAAGGAGTAAACTTACGTTCTGCACTAAGGGCAGGACCCCACCCATCATATGATCCAACTTATAAAAATCCAAATTCCAGATTATGTATAATACAAGAAGTAGAGTTTTAGGCACAGGGCTACTCAAGTCCTGTAGAGCCCAGATGATTCCATCACAATCCCCAGACGCTGGACATGGAGCCAGAGGATTTATGTTTGCATGGTTTCTATCTAGCTTTGGTTCAATCTTTCCCTGCTATGTTTCCATTTCTTCCTGTTGGGATGAGAATGTTTATTTGATGGCTATCTATGTTGGAACTATGTTACTATAGGAGCTCACTGTTAAAGTACTGCCTTGAGGATCAGAAGACACCTGAACTTTTACACAGTATTGAAACTACTAAAGACTCGGAATTTTTGAAGTTAGATTGAATATATTTTGCAAAATGAAATGGCTATAAGCCTATGGGGACAAGAGGCAGAAAGTTATGGCTAAAAAGGGGTATGTTTGAAGGCTGACAACATGGTTCAACAGGTAAAGGCACTTGTCCCACAAACCTGATGACTTACTGTATGTGGGGCGCACGCATTTATTCCCAGCACTCAGGAGGTAGAGGAGGGCAGATCTCTGTGACTTTGAGGCCAGCTTGTTCTACATATCCAGTTCTAGGCCTGCCAGTTCTACATAATGAAACCCTGTCTCAAAAAACAAACAAAACACCCAAACAAACAAGCAGAGAACTGACTCCTGAAAGTTGACCTCTGACCTCTACAAGCACATCATGTCACATGCACACCTATACTCATGCACACACCTCATAAACATACTAATAAACAAAATAAAATAAAAATTTAAAGTAATATGTTTGGGGGCTGGAGAGATGCCTCAGTGGTTAAGAACACTGTTTCCTCTTGCAGAGGACCTGGGTTTGGTTTCCAAAACCAGTTCGGCAACTAACAACTGTCCATAACTCTAGTTCCAAGGGATCCAACATCCTCTTCTATCAATCGCAGGCACTGCACAGCACGGGTGCACTTACATATATGTAAACAAAACACTCATACACACAAAATAAAAATAAACCAAAAAAAGATTAAAATAACGTGTTTGAGGGGCTGAAGAGATGGTTCAGTGGTCAAGAGCACTGGCTGCTCTTGCAGAGGACCCAGGTTCAGTTCCCAGTGCCCACATGGCAGCTAACAACTGTCCTTAACTCCAGTTCCAGGGGATCCAACGCCCTCTTCTGGCCTCTGAGGGGACTGCATGACACAGGTGCACTCTCATGTAGGTACTACACTCAAACACATAAAATAAAAATAACATATTTTAAAATAATATGTTTGAGTGTTAAGCTGACAAGGAATGGATTTGTGATACTGACTGTCAACTCAACAGGATCTACACTCATCTAGAAGACAAACCTCTGGGCATGTCTACGAGGAAGTTTCTAAACTAGGTTTATTGAATGGGTGGCACCACTCAATGGGCTGGGGTGCCAAATCAAATAAAAAGGAAGTTGAGCACCAGCATGCATCTAGTTCTGCTTCTGCACTGCAGATGAAATGTAGCTGCTTCATGCTCCTGCTTCCACAACTTCCTTACTGTGACAGAATATACCCTCAAACTCTTGAGCCCCTTCTTTCCTTAACTTGTTTTGTCAGATATTTTGTCACAGCAATAAGACAAGCAACTAATATAGAAGTCAAATAAGTAAGATCTTACTCCTACTGGCTTTCATGAAAGAGAAAAATGGAAGTTGTGACAGAAAAACTAGAATTTTCAATGTTTGTTTCCAACTGTGTATATATGATGTGTATGTTTGGGTGTGTGAGCCATGGCACACATGTGGAGATCAGAGGGCAACTTTGTAGAGTAGGTTCTCTCCTTCAACATTTATCCAGGTTCTGGGACTGAATTTGGTTGACAGGATTACATTATTGGGAGGCAAGCATCCTTACACAATAAACCCTCTTGCTGACCCAAAATTATACTTTTTTAAAAGTTATTTTACGTGTATGAGTGTATTGCCTGCATGTATGTGAGTGCACCCATGCCATGCAATGCCACGGAAGTCAGAAGAGGGCTTCAGATTCCCCTGGAACTGGAGTTAAGGATGGTTTGTAGCCACCATGTGGGTGATGGGAATTGAACCCGGGTCCTCTGCAAGAGCAGTCGATGCTTTCAACCGCTGAGCCATCTCTCCAGTCCCACCAAAATTATACTTTAATCTTCAAATGAGAGCCTTATCTGTTATACCTGCTATACCTCGAACACCCTCAAAGTGTTACACTTACTGTAATTGCCAGAAGACTTTTCTTCATACACAAAATGAAGCTGTAACTCCTCCTCAGACATCTCACAGATGAATACTTTCAGTAAACAGCAAATAATAAACAAAGCATTATGTGTCTGCCAAATGAAGATGTGGCTAGAAAGACCCAAAAAAAAAAAATCAGTATTTAGTTAAAAGCATGGTCAGTTTATTTCTAGTCTACAATGTCTCCATAATTTGTGAATATTTTGTACAGCCTGCTTAACAATATTAAAACAATGTGCATATCATTTAATGGTTTACAATTATATTGAGCCAGTGATTATCTATTGCATTTTCTCTCAGATTTCATTTTGTATATCTTACATAGTAAATTCACTTAATAAAAATGGTTTTTGGTGCCTACATGCATGACTGCTCTTTGTTCTTAACTTTACAACTGTCCCACATGAAGGCAATTAAAGAAAAGGAAATCTAGAACTATGGAAGCATAAAATGTGTACACATATGCAATTGACCAAAATTCCAAGGCAGGCATCAGTGGCAACACAATACAATGCCTCTTACTCCCATTAATGACTGAAAAACTTTATATTCAGTATAAATTGTTTATAAGCAGGGCAGTGAATAATATTAAAAATATTACACTCCAGGGGCTAGAGAGATGGCTCAGAGGTTAAGAACATATAATGCTCTTCTAGAGGACCAGAGTTCAATTCCCAGCACATATATAGGGTGGTTCACAACCTCCTGAAACTTGAGCTCTAGAGGATCCCACACCCTCTTCTGACCTCCAAGGACACCTGTACTCATATGCACACTTACACACATGCAGGTGATATACTCATAAACATAAAATAAAAATAACGAATAAAATATGAAAAAAGTCTTTCTCAGAAACAAAAGCATCTTTACAGAGAATGTAAATAAAGTGTTATTTTGATATATCACAGTGAAAGATTTATCGTCCTCTTTTTTTTTTTTTTTTTTTTAAAAAAAAAAAAAAAAAAAAAAAAAAAAAAAAAAAATACTACCCTTCAAAAACAATTTTATAAGCGTTCACTCTGTAATCCCAACACTTGGGAGGCTAAGAAGAAGGACTGCCAGAAATTCAAGGTCAGTCTACGTTACAGAGTGACTTTATTTCAAAAAAAAAAAAAAATGTAAGTGCTTAAGTCATAAACGATTAGGCTCCTGCTGAATGCCATAGATGCAGAATAAGATAATCTAACTCATTATTTAAACTATTAACAGTGATAATAAGGGGAAAGTACCTTTTATAACTAAATAACAAAGGAGGATAACAGAATGAATATGAGCAAAGTACAAGAATATGTATGAAAATGTCCTAATGAAACCCATTTTATACTAACTATAACAAAAAATAATTTTAAAAACTGAAATCAAAAATAATTGTATTACTATTAATCTTCTTGACAAATACATTTCTAATAACTGACCAAAATACTGAAATCAAACAAATTCCAGAATTTTTAATCTTAAGCCAACAACTTAAGATCCTAAAATAAAAACCTCTCTTTTACTTTCCTCTTCTTAATAAAGAAAGTGATCTATGGGGGCTGGAGAAATAGCTCAGTGGTTAAGAGCAGTAACTGCTCTTGTAGGACCTGGGTTCAGTTCCTAGTACCCGTACCCACATGGTGGCTAACATCTGTCCATAACTCCAGTTCCAGGTGATCTGACGCCTTCTTCTGATCTCTGTAGGTACTGTACTTACAAACATGCAGGCCATACACTAGACATAAAATTAAAAAAATAATTTTTTTTAAAAAGTGATCTCTTAAGCCGGGCGTAGTGGCGCATGCCTTTAATCCCAGCACTTGGGAGGCAGAGGCAGGCAGATCTCTGAGTTCAAGGCCAGCCTGGTCTACATAGTGAGTTCCAGGACAGCTGGGGCTACAGGGAGACCCTGTCTCAAAAAGACCAAAAAAAAAAAAAAAGTGATCTCTTGCCGAGTGTGGTGGCGCATACCTTTATTCCCAGCACTCAGGAGGCAGAGACAGGCAGATCTCTGTGAGTTCAAGGCCAGTCTGGTCTACATAGTGAGTTCCAGGCCACCTGGGGCTACAGGGAGACCTGGTCTCAAAAAAGACCAAAAAAAAAAAAAAAAAAAAAAAAAAAAAAAAAAAAAAAGATCTCTTCACAGGGCTTTTCAAAAGATCACAGTCTATTTGCCCCATCAAATGAAAAACAATAGTCATACCACTAAATATAAACTGAACACAATTCAATCAGCCAGCTTACTTCTGACATTCTGCTGAAAGTTTGAGTTCTTTGGTTCTAGAAAGGAAGACTTTAATTAGTGCACCAAGATTTCCTGTTCGAGGATTGTTTTCAACTGCAAGAGAAAAGAAAAGCATTTAAAAACTTAACATTAAGAAATAAAATCCTAGTGAGCATATCATGCCATTTATAAAACCAAATGTCAAACTGAAATTGCTGCTAGACCAATCCTACTGACAAATTTCACATCTAATTAGGAAAATAATCAATGAAAGAAACTGCTACTCTTAGTCTTATTTCCAAATCTCAAAAAATGATTCTATGGGGCTGGAGAGATGGCTTAGCAGTTAAGAGCACTGGCTGCTCTTACAGAGGACCTGGGTCCTGTTTCCCAGGCAGCAACAACCGTCCATAACTCCAGTTCCAGGGGAATTCTATGCTCTCTTCTGACTTCCACAGGCATTGCAAGACACAGTTGCACTTACACACATGCAGGCCATACACTCATAAACATAAAATAAAAATAAAATTTTAAAAAGTGATTCTCAAACAGTAGAAAGTGCTACCTCAAGCTAGAAAAGCACCACTACTACTATGATTTTATATATTCTTACCTACAAGCTAGTACTTGCTCAAGTACACATCCTTATCTACTGGCTCAAATCCTTAGCTATAACCTAGGAACCAGACTAAATAAGATCTCTATTAGACTATATAGCAAGTCACTGAAGCACAAAAGTTAAGAATTCAACCGACTCTTTAGTTCAAACCCTTAACTTTACTGCTGAAGATAAAAAGCTCAGAAAGCTTGTGTTGGGCCCAAAGTCAACAGCACATCAGCAGCAAATGCAGTCAGTTCCTTGATCAATGGTTTTAAAAATGAGCACAGCACAGGCTCACTTACATACATGCAGGCAATACACTCATACAAATAAAATAAAATAAAAATTAAATTAAAAATGGTTTTCCAAAAATGCAAATGCCAGGGTTATGAATGCTCTTGAACCAGAAATGCAAGTGTTCAAACATGCTGGCCTGTGCTGCCAAGAGAGTTTGTATGCAGGTGTAGTAGCCTGAGTACTTCCATTTTGTGTAAGACATTATGTTGAGCCATCTCAGACCCTACCCTAGCCGGGGGCCAGAAGCCAGAAAGAGCTGAGAAACACATCATATACTCCTGGTGTTAAAGTAGCAAAGAGCCCCTAAGTTTAACTGGTCAAGACTTCAAAATCTCTAGTCTGTTGAAAGAACCACATTTCCAGTTTCACTGGTCAATCATCTGGTCATAGGACTACCCCTAAGAAGGCAGGTTCACCTTAAGTTATGCTAAGTAGATGGGTGGAATAGCTAGTGCGTTAATGAGATAACAAAGTTTTCCTGTCTGGAATCCCACCTCCTAGCACAGAACTTCTTGACCCAGCCACAGACATGTCTCTGTAAGTCTGCTCATTTTTCTGAATTCTTCAGAAAAGCATAATTTCTCCTTTTCTTCTCCATATCCCTTTTCTAATCCAGACCTCTCTGGAGTGGGCCTTCAGCTTCTGTCCTGTTGTCCCACTCAGTGCGTAAAGGTTTACATCTCTATTTCCAGCCTCCTCATCTGTATTGCTTCTTCTCTGGAGAGGCCCACTTCTAAACAAGATTTTTTTTTAATTTGGGGGAGGGTTGTATGTAGTTAGAGAACAACTTTGTGAAATCCATTCTTTCCTTACCATTTTTTAGGGGACAGGGTTCTTTTTGAGGCACGGTTTCCCTAAAGCCCCAGCTGGCCTACAGCTCCCTATGTAGACCTAGCTGGCCTTGAACTCACAGAGATCTGCCTGCTTCTGCCTCCTGAGTGCTGGGAATAAAGGCGTGCGCCACCATGCCTAGCCTTAAACATGCTTTCTTTAAGGCTTTGGGTTGCCCCTAGCATCTTTTATTTCTTTACTTTTTCTCAAGCTTCCTTCTCCCAGCCATGTGGCTACCAGTCAGCCACATGTCTGATCTCCATGCAGACTCTAAACCTACATGGCTTCATGGCTTTCTTTCCTTCTCCCCACCATCCTCCTCCTCAAGGCAGCTGCCAAGGTTACCAGCTTGCCTCTCTGAGGATTTTTCTTTAAAATTTTAATAAAATTGTAAAAGCTCCCATCCCCTCCCAGTTAGAGTGGCATTCTCAAAATTGGCTCAGAGAGCTAAATAGATTCGACTGATTCGGAACTTTTTGAGCCTGAGTGGTCTTTTCCCAGTGACCTTGAATTCCATAACACAAGTATAGAATTCTATATATTTTTTTAATTTCTTGAAATGTGTCAAAGATGGAGTTCTTTTGAATGTATTCTTTTAAAATCCAGGTTTGCACACACGTACTTTAAAAGAGGGGCTAGAGAGGTGGCTCAGCGGTTAAGAGCACTGACTGCTCTTGCAGAGGACCCAGGTTTGATTCCCAGCACCCACATGGCAGCAACAAACCATCCTTAACTCCAGTTCCAGGGGAATCCGAAGCCCTCTTCTGACCTCCGCAGCATTGCACGACACAGGTGCACTCACATACATGCAGGCAATACACTCGTACACATAAAATAAAAATAATAAATAAAAAATTTTTTTAAAAGAATGTGCATGGGGAAGCCAAGGGTGGTGGCAATTGCCTACAATCCTGGCAGGGTCCACTACTACCTCTACAAATGCAGTGTGTGCTGACTGAATGGTATGTACTGACTTAACCGTGCATTCTAGCAGTATCAGTGAGGCTATGAAGACAAATAATTATTATCATCACAATCAAGAATAGAGCTTCATTAATTCAATTCATATTGTACTACCAAAATTCTTAGAATTTTTGAAAAAAAAATGTTTCCCTCTCCTCTCCCCATCTTACCTAAAGATTTGCAGACTGAAATGGTAGCCTCTTCCAAGAGCTTCAACTCAGTACTGTAGAATGAAAAAAGGCAGTTTATAAGCACAATACTAAAAATGTATATGCTAGCCAGTTAAATGAATATATCAAGGGAATTAATTAGAAGAAACATATAGTAAGCAATAAAAAAAGCTTTGATTTTTCAATGTAGTTAGAAAATTTGCTCTAATTCTCAATATGATATTACTAAGTGAAAAGAGCTTGGAGCACCCTGTCTTTCAGGCCCTAGGGTAGAGAGGAAGCAGAAAGCTTGAGATAGGCACTCAAAAACAAAGTGTACAAGGTACAGGCCACATTATTTAAAAATATAGTTATGCGGTTTTCCCCCAGCTAAAATAATAAGTGCCTTCATTTGTAGAATCCTTTATCTTTCAAAGCACTTTAGAAGCTATTACTTTAATTACATACTTACTTATTTTTATTTATATAATTATTTAAATTCCATGAAAAAGTGTCTAACGAGCAGGACCATTTAAGCTTTATTTCTAAAGATAAGCAAATTGCGGCACCCAAGGAGTTTAAGTTACATTCCAACAACCAAAGTCTGAAATGAGCAGGGCATGGTGGTACATGCCTTTAGTCCCAGCACCCCAGAGGCAGAGGCAGGTGGACCTTTATGAGTTCAAGGCCAGCCTGGTCTACATAGCAAGTTCCAGGTCAGCTAGGGCTACAAGAAGACCCTATCTCAAATAGACCAAATAAAAAAAGTCTGAGATGAGGGGCTGGAGAAATGGCTCAGTGGTTAACAGCACTTCCTGGCTGCTCTTACAGAGGACCTGAGTTCCGTTCCCAGCACCTACATGGTGTCTAACAACTGTCCATAACTCCAGTTCCAGGGAATCTAACACCCTCTTTGACCTCTGTAGACACTGTATGACATGAGTGTACTCACATGCATGCAGACAAAACATTCATACACATAAATAAAAAGATAGCAAAAAAATTTTTAACTTTTTTAATTTTTTAAAAATATTTTATTATTTTTATTTTATGTGTATGCACGTATTGCCTGCATGTAGGTAAATGCACTCGTGTGGTGCAATGCTGGCGGAAGACAGAAGAGGCCACTGGATCCCCTGGAACTGGAGTTACAGACAGCTGTTAGCTGCCATGTGGGTGCTGGGATTTGAACCTGGGTCTTCTGCAAGAACAACCAGTATTCTTAACCGCTGAGCCATCTCTCCAGCCCCTTAACTTTTTTTTTTTTTTAAAGTCTGAGATGAGAAGTCCATGAACCAGCTCTCAAGCCTAATGACTCCACTGACAATTACTCAGTGACCTTTTCAGTCAGTACATTAAGACACAGCAAAACCTCCAAATGGCTGGTTTAAAATTCCCCAGTCCCCAGGGTTCTCTGATGCAAGTGAATGATAAAATACATTTTTTAAAACACCTGTGTGAAAGGTTTGGAAAAGGAAATTTTAGAAAAACTGATGAAGAAAACTAACTGCTTTTACAGCTTCTGTCTCTTCATTACATCACCTTCTCATTAGGCTAAGCCAAAATGATTTTTTTTTTTTTTTGTCTTTTTGAGACAGGGTCTCCATGTAGCCCCAGCTGACATAAAACTCACTATGTAGACCAGGCTGGTCTCCAACTCACAGAGATCCACCTGCCTCTGCCTCTTGGGTGCTGGGATTAAAGTTGTGTGCTACCACTCCAGGCATGTTACTTTCATAAAGGAAATCAACCAGACACATTTCTGCCAAAACCAACAAGTTGATTATTGTAATAGAATTTCTTCCCTCTCTTACTCCATTCTCCAGTCTTCTAAAACTTCTTGGAACATTTAAGAATAATTGCTTTCCCACTTGCTTGATTTAGAGCCATAATGAAGTGTAGGCACGGGGGGGGGGGGCCCTGGTAACTGCTGCTGCTGGTGATAGGCATCCACACACAGCTCTGTTTTAGTTAAACAAATGAGCTCAGATGTTCTGGCATAGTTAACTAACAAGTCATCATTTGCAGTAAACAGAAGTAAAATGGTACAGTAAAAATATGCCAATGTTTCCAAGACAAATTATAAAACAAATGCTTCTGAAGGAGATTTGGGACACAGGAAACATGCAACAAAGGGGCAAAAGCAGCAAATATTCATACAAATTCAGATTAAGCAAATTAGTACCATACAGAGTACTCCAGACTTACTCTATACATGAACTTCATACCTGCAGGTCAATTATAAAACTGTGGGACATTCGAGGTAAATACTTAAAACTCATAATCTTATAACCAAACTTCTATGAGTAAACTCTAAAAAAACAACCATATTGATCCATGGCTCTCCCCGAAGCAATCCTTGCTTGCTACATGATAGTGTATCAGGTACCAATAGTGTATCAGGTACCTTCTCAGATCTTGGCCACACAGTCATTCTGGCAGCAACAGTCACAGGACAGAGCAGTCATAAAAAAGGAATCTCAGTTTTGTTGTGCCATCCAAATCCAATGCACAATGAAACTGAAAGGACTGAAGAGCTTGCCAAGGAGCACTCTCCACTTCCTTGCTCCCTCCCTCCCTCCCTCAAGACAGACAGAAAGACAGACAGACACACACACACACACAACACATGACAAAAAGTAAGTAACATGAAGGATGGGGCATATCACACTGCAGAGTTTACAACCTCTTTGGACTTAAATTCCATGTTACAATCCTGTAATATGACAACTCTGCCCTTAACTTCAAGAATGGTCTAAACATTGTTACTGCAAAAAGAAGCTTCTCTGCTGAGGGTTGAGAGAGGCACTAATGTCACTAGGGGTCAGTTTAGTACTATCTACTCAATAGAATAACAGTCACAGGATCTCCCCTAGGATCTATGACCTATCTAGCCACAGGTTCTTGGCCCTCCATAATGGTGCCAGGTATGGGTTCCACAGCAGATGGTGACTAACACAGAAACCCACAATCACATTTGTTGTAGAATAACATTGCAACATTAAAAAAAGTCTTATATTCTAAAATATAGAAGTACTTTGATTATCAATTCATTTTCTATCACAAGGAATTAGCTGTGACTGGGTACTTGCATAAGGCATGTACGTTGCATGGGTTCAATCTTTGGCACCACATAAACTGAGTGTGATGGCACATACCTTTAACCCCAAAACTCAGGAGGTAGAGGCAGGAGGAGCAGAAGTTCATAGTGGGGAAGCTACTGTCAGTCATTCTTTTGCCAAATGGACATACTGTGATTTCCCAATTTTTAAACTATATTTACTTAAAATTTATTATGTGTGTTTGTTTGGGGGAAGCATATATGTGCTCCAGCATATGTATAGAGTTCAGCAAAGCAGATGGTAAAAAGCTGTTGGGGAAAATTATAATAGACTTCTGAACAAACTACAATTATGAGGTTTATAAAATAAATGCAGGGAATGTCTAAGTCCCTTCCACTGAAGATTTTGCCACAGAATTACTTCAAAACTGACACTTTAAACTTATGTCATTTTCAGTCAACAATGTACCTATTCTAATACATATGCAGTTTATCAGTTTAAGACATGGCCTGAGTAAAGCAACAAGTAAGCATTCAGAAAAGTAAGGAAGCATTTCTCAGACATCCCCCTTACTATAGCAAAGAGGGAGTTCAGAAATCATTCACAAAGCTAACAAAAATCAGTCCATTCAGTGGTTAAACTACAGGAAGGTTAATATTTTAAAAGAGCCTATTTATAACAGAAAGCCAAAGGTTAAAACTGCATATAAATTTTTATAGCAATTTTTGATGCATCAAGCAGAACGAAAAAGGTGTTGTATTCAAGTGATTCATAGATAATTCTATATGCTGCCATGTAACTGTCAAAATCAAAGGCCTACAACTGTCAGAACTTCAGCAACTACCGTGCTAGATGAGATTACATTTACTTTTTTTCAAGAAAGTAAAAGAAATTAAAAACTTTAAATTCAGATTTCATGCCAGGCATGGTGGTGCACACCTTTAGTCCCAGCACTCCGGAGGCAGAGGCAAGCAGATCTCTATGAGATCGAGGCCAGTCTAGTCTACATAGCAAGTACCAGGCCAGCTGGGGCTACAGGGAGACCCTGTCTCAAAAAGACCGATAAATAAATAACAAAATTCAGATTTCAACACAGTGAGAAAGCAATCAAGGGTGTAACTGAGGTAAAACTTTTGTAACCCCTTACTTTAATATTCTAAAATAATGCTTATTATATCTCCCGCCATTTAGCTTTCAATTTAAGAAGTACTCAACCCTGGATAAACTCAATCACCTTCTAAAATCGTTTTGCAAAGGAAGGTATAAATGGAAGAATAGAAAATGAAGATTCTGATTCAAGTTGTAAACACTGAACTTTATGTGGTCCTTCAATTTCAGAAAATAAACAGCCAAGAAAAGTTTCATGGTGTTTATTTGATTAATAAAATGGCTTGATGTGTTATTTTTGTTGCCATCAGTATAAACCTCTGATGAAAAATTAGAAGAGAATTTAGAAGACAGTTTAATGCTACACCAAGCCCACCTCACCTCAATGACACATTGGACTGTTTCAATCTGAAAAGTTCTTTATTATTATTTTTCAATTTTATGTGCATGAGTGTATTGCCTGTATGTGTGTAAGTGCACCCATGTCATGCAGGGCCCGCAGAGGACAGAAGAGGGCATAGTGAATCCCCTGGAACTATGAGCCTCCATGTGGGTGCTGGGATTTGAACCAGGGTCTTCTGCAAGAACAATCAGTGTTCTTAATAAAGCTGTACATAAAGTATGCGAAAAAGAATAAAAACAGAGAGCCAGGAACTAAAGACTCAAAGAAAAAAATATTTATTATCACTGTTTCTGTTCAGCATATATGCATAACCTAATTCAATATGTCTCTTTCCTATTTATCAAGTAAGAAAACATATTTTTATAAAAATTTAAGATGAGGGGCTGGAGAGATGACTCAACAGTTAAGAACACTGGTTGTTCTTGCAGAAGACCCGGTTTTGAATCCCAGCACCCACATGGCAGCTAACAACTGTCCATAACTCCAGTCCCAGGGGATCTGA